AAGAGATTTCTTACAGCTTCAATTAAGACCCTTACATTTGCCTGCCTTCTGTGAAACAGCACCACCTCACTATATCTTTTTTATTGCTTTTTGTTTCTTGTGTGTGCTAATGCTTTACAAACTTTTAGATCAAATATTTATAAAGTTTGACTGAGTTCAGCAAGACCTTAAAGAAATTCACTTCATTCCCACCTCCGCACATTAGTTACAATAACTTCAGTTATTGTTGACAATAATAGGGACATTCCATTTGTTGTAAGGATCACTATATAATCTTAAAGATATTTAACCTCTTTGAGACTGCTACTTCTCATGTATAAAATAATTTAGATTACTATGATTCCTTTGGTTTTTAGGATTCTCAGAATTCTAGTACAGGCCTAGTTATGAAACAGGCTAATTCCTCTTTTTGCCTTTTAAAATAAATGAATATTCCATGGTTGTCAGTGACCAGCTTTTCCACTCTCTACATTCTTTCTCCAAGTATCTCATAAACTATTATGACTTTCTCAAATTTATGCTGGAGCCCTAACTTTCAAACTCCAAATTTAAATTTTTATTTGTTGTACATGATTAACTAGATGTACTACCACCAGCCCTTTAAAGGTATCATGCAAAACAAATAAATTGTATGTATGTGTACCAAACTTCTTTGTCAGTATGGCTTGTGATAAAAAACAAGTTTTAGGATCAGATGTACCTGAATTTGAATCCCAGCTCTGCCATTTATTAGCTGAGAATAATAACCTTGATCAGATTAATCTTGTCTCCATTTTTTATGTGTAAAATAGGGTTAAAACAGTACTTATAATTCATATGGTTGTTATATGTGCATGTTTTACCTTAGTATAATACCTGGAACATGCTAATAGCTCAATAAATGTTAGCTACTGTTATTATCAGTAGCATTACCATGTTTCCTAGTCCTCCAGGTTCTAAATAGCTCAGTAATCTTTGACGGATTCTGTCTTTTTTTTTTTTTTAAAAATCAATTTAATCAGCATTTGTATATTTTTCTTTCCTTTTTTAAAAAATATTTTTTTATTGGTTTCAGAGAGGAAGGGAAAGGGAGAGAGATAGAAACATCAATGCTGAGAGAGAATCACTGATGAGCTGCTTCCTGCATGCCCCACACTGGGGATTGAGCCCACAACCCAGGTATATGACCTAACCGGGAATCGAACCATGACCTCCTGGCCCATAGGTCCATGCTCAGCCACTGAGCCACGCTGGCCGGGCCTATTTTCTGACATGGTCTGGTTTTCATTCCCACATAGATTAAGATTATCATCACAGACATCTAATCAGATTCCTAGATTTTATGTTTAAAGGGTAGAACCTCTTCTTATTTTTATTTCCCCTATATTACCTACCATAATGCCTAATACATAAAAGTCTCACTATTATTAGATAACTCATGTAATCTTTATATCTATTTATTTATTCCTCCACTGATCCCTTAAATCTTTGAGCACAGGAAATTTGATCCTTCTCTGTACAGCTCTACACCTGACAAAATCCCTTAGTCTATGTTTGCTGAATAAATGAATGTTGACTAGCCTCACTCCAAACCTATCATCAATCTAGCTACTGCATGTGCAAAAGATAGGTCTTATATTCTCTGATCCAAAGATTCATACAGATCCAAAGATACAAACACTAACATCAGAACCATCTTTAGACTTTGCTTTCCACTTATTGGCAAGTTCCAGGATCACATTCTATTCTCGCAGCAACCACAGGCTTTAAAGCATGGCTCTTTCTCAACAGTTTGAATAAAAAATTCTGAATTAACACTCATGCTGACTGGAAAAGATGCCCTTCTTTGAATAATCACTGTGAACAGAGGGATGGACAACACTGATTGGCTAGGCCTGAGCCAAGTGCACACCCTTGTGTCAGGGTGGGATCTATGTAACTGAGAGGGGTGGTTCCCTAGGAAAATTGGAGTACAGTATTGTTATCAGAGGAAAGGGGAATGCATGACAGACCGGCAAAATTAACTGATCTGCCCTATACTCTAAGACTTTTTCCATGTCCACCAGTGCCTGGAAAGGCTATCTTTCTCATTTCTGCCTACCCAAACTACCCAAATCTAAGCTACGTCATTTCTGCCCCCAAAAGTCTTCTGTGATTTTCCTTGTTTACTGAATCAAGTCACTCATTCCAAGTAAAAATCTCCCTTTTTCTAAAGCTCTTCCTTTTTAAATAAACAAGAGGGGGAAGCCTCCAGAAAAGGTTCCATGATGAATTCTAATCATGTCTAATTATAAATGGTATGGGTAATATGTGCTGTTTCTTAGGATAAAAACTCTTGAAGGACAGCAGCTCTACTAGATACATTCTATATATAGGGTGTCGCAAAATTTACGCAAGATTTGAATTTTGCGTGAGCATTAACAACAACAACAACAAATAAAAGCCTAATTTTACTTGGTTTATTGAATCAGATTCTAATATCTGTTGCCCTTTGATTTCAATCCCTTCAATTTGATAAGCATTACCAAGTAGCACTTATGGCCCAGGAGCAGGGACAATGAAGACCAATGAAGACCATGGCTTTGTGTATGTGCCAGCAAAGCCGTGAAGGCCATTTACCCGATGTGCTATTCTATACATAACCTTATACTATATACTTTATGAATCAATAAAAAATTTACAATTTTTAATTATAAACCTGTGTTTTCTATCAAAATTACTTCTTGCGTGAATTTCGGACACCCTATATTATCAAAGAACTGTGTGGCAGTATTAAAATAATTTTCTTGGCTTTAAATTTCCTATAGGATCTAAACAAAACACTTTAGCTAATAGGTTGGGTCTGACTTCATCTAAGTAGCTGTTTTAACAGGTAGACTATGGTTTTGGAGTTATCTCAAACTAGGCTCAAATCCTGGCTAATATCACCTTTCCTGGCCTTTAGCTACAGATCTTTGAGCAAATTATCTTCTCTCTCCAAATCTTGGTTTCACTACCTATAAAAACTGGAATGGTAATACCTGTCTGTACATAAGGAGGCTATGTAATAAAGAGGAAAGAATTAGATGGACCCAGGCTGAAATTCTACCACTAATACTAGTTATATGACTTTCTCTGAGTGATTCCTCATCTGTAAATGCTGAGTAATTGCTCGTATGCAATAATATTTAATCCACTGGTTGTTAAGCATTTAACAAGGCAATGTATTTTAAAACACCTAACACACTGAATAGCACTGAAAATGCAATAAATGTTTATCCACATCAAACTATCTGATTAAAAAGAATAATTCAGTGTTTTTGTACAAGGTCTACCAAAGCTTTCTTATACTTACTAAGTAGTATTTCTACCATATTAAAATGAATTTAGCCTAATAGGTTAGAAAATACCCTGCAGTATTTTTCCCTCCTTTTTATCTTTTTTCCCTTTTTTAGACTTTTTGACCAGATAAATCTCAACCATCAAAAATTGTGGTTTATATATAAATTATTAAAATAATAAACATGGATAATGATAAATTAAAAATTCAGAGCACAAAGAAAAATTCACTAGGATTATTTATTGGTCTTGATAAATACCCTTGGGTTTTCTTTGTTAGTTAAAATGTTTTCTAAAGGCAAAAACACTTTGGTCTTACAATTATTTAAAAGCAAGTAAGGTAATGAACTAGATAAACTCCTGTAATCAACTTGTTCTTTAGCTTCAGGCTTAATGTAGTAATATGAAATGACTCACACCAATATGAAATCACTATGCTAATCATCTCCTGAACAGAATCAGATGGGATACAAATGATAATTTTAGATGTTATCAATCAGAACACATGCAAAAGGCAAGTGGCTGTTCATATTAACCTTAGCAATAGTTTAACTTCAATGTCATTCACTAAAAAATACAAACTATATTCAGTATAACTGTTTCCAGAAAGAGATTAGATAAGTAGGCATTTAATTTCTTCTATTTTACACTAGAGCAAAAGTTTCTTTGGAAAGAAGTTTCCTGAAGTAGTTTAACATTCTGTTTATTTTTCTAACATGAGTGAATCATATGCAATACTTATCAGTCTTTAATGAGTGCACAACATAGGAAGGTGTTAAATTGGAGATTTTAAAATAAAGATAAATAAAATAAGGTAAATAAAATGGAATAAACATGACACATTCTTTGGTCGCAAAACACTATATGAAAATAAAATATTTAACTACACCATACTATACAAACTGGGTGATTTTTTTTTCTCCTTTGTATTTGTGCAAAATATGAATAGACTGTTTTTAATCAACCCCCTGAGGAAGTTACACTTTAAACACAAGAGAAGAATAATGTGGTGAACACCTCAGTCTCCAGACACTGTTCTCTCCAACTATGAAAACCTAATTCCTTATTATCTTTCCTGTGTTCAAAAATATGTACAAAGCAAAATAATGCTTGTTTTTTTAAAAGCATTAAATACAGACATGGTAGGCAACCTATGTATCTTTTCAAAGTAGTTTTCTTCTTTCAACGTTTCCGGGGGCGGGCATGAGGACAGCGGGGCAGAAGTAATGGGAGTGTGAAGGTGGCTCTAGTTATTCTTACAAGTACATTTGGTCACTCAACTAGATCAAGTACAGTTACAGCGTCCGGGTTCACACGAAAAACAACTCCAAGAAACGCCAGCGCTGAGATGGGAGATTCCGGATAACGCACCCACTGTGGTCGGGTTAAGCGCGCTACAAGCCCCAATCTGGCAGGTCGGTTTCCTAGTGGACTCCCCGGTCCGCTCGGCCTGCACAAACCGGGCGGGGCTATCTGGGCAGCGGCCGACTGTAACTTTCTAGGAGAGTAAACCACCCCGGCCAGTCCCCTGCGGTCTTCCCCGGGGATGCCGCTGTCCGCCTCGCCCCGAGCTCGGGGGCTGGCCCGCAGACCGGGAA